GAACTTGGGACCTTCCGCTTGGGAGGCAAGTGGCGGAACCACAGAGCTAAATCCCTGGCCCCTTAAATTTATTTTTTAACTACATTATATAGTTTTAAATTAAAACTATAAAACAAGGTATAGCTGGGCGTAGTGGCGCAAGCCTGTAATCTCAGCACTTGGGAGGCTGAGACAGGAGGATCCCTACCAATTTGAGTTTGAGGCCAGCCTGGGCTTTATAGTGAGTACAAGGCCGCCTTGAACTACGTAGTGAAACTCTGTCTCAGAAAACCAAAATAAACGAATAAGTGAATAAATAAAACAAGGTACATTATATGTACACATTATCTCTACCTGCTTTCTTACACAAAACATAGAGTATATTAAAAACACTTCTTTTTCCCTTGCGCTTGCGAGGCAGGCGGTTGAACCACTAAGCTAAATCCCCAGCCCTTAAAAATACTTTTTCCCACATTTATTTTTTATTTAAAGTATATCCTTTCAATCATCCCATAAAAGTATCAAAATGTGTACTTTATTCCTTTTTGTCCTTGCAGCATATGGTTATCTTATGGAGGTAAATAGTTAGTTCAGCCACTTCTCTGCTGATGGATATTTCTGTTACTTCTAGTGCTTTTGCTGTTATAGTTGGCACTGCAGTAAATGACCTTGTTCATCAATTACTTAGCATTTTGCCAGCATATTTTTAAAAACAGCTTTATTGAGATATAATTCACGTACTTTAGAATCGTACAGCTCAGAGAATTTTCCTTCTCTGTTTACTGAGATGGACAGTTACCTACTTTTAGAATATTTTCATCACCCAAGAAGAAACCCTACACCTATTAGCAGTCACTGCACATTTCCCCTGCCTTAGCCACACACAGCTGCACATCTGCTCTTTACGTCAGTTCTGCACATGGGATATAAGGGGAACCATGTACTATGTGGCCTTTGTGATGGGCTCCTTTCTGTTAAACATGTTCAGAGTTTATCCATGGTGTCTCATGCAGCAAGCAGTACTTGATTCCCTTTTATGGCGGAGTAGTATTTAATCCATTTTGTTGTAGATTTCTAGTTTCTGGCTATGAAATACAGTGTTACAATATGGAACTCTTCTCTCTGATGACTGGTAGTCAACACATGCCTGTATGCATTTGTGAAAACCTGTAGACCCACGCAACACAAATAATCAAGTTTTCTGTGTGTAAATTGAAAATATACTATATAAGAAGAAGAATAGTGCCGCAATGAAGTTTTAGTACCGAATCTCTCGGTGACCATTGAAGTACCCTTCTCTTCCACCCTGACCTGCAGCAGAGGTGTGGGGTTGTAGGGTGTGCACAGGCTCCCCATTGGCATGGTGCTGGGCATCCTCTATAGTGGTTGTTCTGCTTTCCCCACTGGCAGGGCATAAAAGTGCCAGTCTCTCCATGTCCTTGCCGACACCTGGCATTGTCTGTCTTTATTTTTGCAATTTTGGTGGCTGTGTGCTTGGATCACACTCTGATTTTTGGGGGTTTTTTTGGTACTGGGGATCAAACTCAGGGCCTTGCGCTTGTGCAGCAAGTGGTGAAACCACTGAGCTAAATCCCCAGCCCCTCACTGTGGTTTCATTTTTATTGTTGTATATCCTTTTATTGGTACATTTTAGGTGTACAATATAACAATATAATGACATTCATCATCGGAAATATGCACCTTTACATACTGTCTTGGTTCTTATTTTTTCCCCCTTCCCCTGCCCTCCTTTCAACCTCTCCATCCCTCCCTATTTACAAAGACTTTGTTTCCTGTTTTTCACTTTCCTTTTTTTTTTTTTTTTGGTACTGGGGATCGAACTTGGATCCTTCCGCTTGCAAGGCAGGCAGCTGAACCACTGAGCTAAATCCCCAGCCTTCATTTTCTTATATTAATTCCATTCCCTTCTTTCCTTTCTCCTACCCCTTTGCCGCTTTTCTTCCTATTTCACATTATCTATTATACCTTTTCGTCCTTATTTACACTTTCAGTTTCTCACACTAGAGAAACTTCGGTATTTACACATGTGTGTCCTATTTATTTCCCATAAGAGTATCGCTTCAATGTGCATCCATTTAGCAATAAATGTCTAATTTCTCATTTTTGATGGCTGAGTAGTTCTCCATTTTATAAAAACCCCACATTTTTGGGCTGGGGATTTAGCTCAGTGGTTTTGCTGCCTGCTGCGCAAGCACAAGGACCCGAGTTCAATCCCTGGTACCAAAAACCTCCCCCAAACCCAAAAAATCATATTTTTTTGATCCAATCTCCTGTTATGGGCATTTGGGCTGTTTCCAAGTTTTAGCTATTACAAACTATGCTGCTATGAACATGGGTGCACATATATCACTGTGGTATGATTCTTTTAATTCTTTAGGGAAGAGAGCCAGCAGG